CATTGTCTGATTTTGCTGTTTAATGTCTTCCTTGATACTCCAGATCATTTGAAGCATGTATATCCTGAATTCTTTATCTGACATTCCATCTGCTGCAGCTGTTACCTCTTCTAAAGTTGCGTTGACCTGCATTGCTTGTGGTCCTTTCTTTCCTTGTCTTTTCATACTGCTTGCGTATCTTTCCTGCAGGTGCGGGCGGCGGCTCTGCTCTCTCCTTATTCCAATTGGGGTGTCGTGGCTACCACGCCGGCAGGTCACTGGGCCTGTTCTGGGAGCTGGTGGCGGCTCTGTTCTGCCCCTACTCCAATTGGGGTGACGTGTCTGTCGTACCAGCAGGCCACTGGGCCTGTCCTGCTGGTCGGTCGCAGATCTGCCCACCTTTCGGGCACGAGTGGAGGCTCTGCTTTGCCCCTACTCCAATTGGGGTGTCGTGACTACCCCGCCTGCAGGATGCTGGGTCTGTTCCTGGCAAGGGAGGCGACTCTGCTCTGTCACTACTCCAATTAGGGTGGTGTTTGTACCCCGCCGGCAGGCTCCTGGGCCTGATCCGCCGGTCTGTTGTAGGTCTGCCTACCTTGAAGGCGCGGGCGGCGGATCTGCCCTGCCCCTCCTACCACGCCTGCGGACCCCTGGGCCTGATCTGCAGGTTGATCACTGGTCTGCTCACCCTGCGGGCACGGGTGGCGGTTCCGCTCCACCCCCACTCCAATTGGGGTCACGTGACCTCCACACCGGCAGGGCCTGATCCGGGCGTGGGATTAGGATCTGCTCTGCCCCTACTCGAGTTGGGGTGACGTGTGTACCACACTGGCAGGCCACTGGGCCTGACCCGCCAGGCTGTCACAGGTCTGTTTACCTTGCAAGCGCGAAGGGCGGCTCTGCCCTGCCCCTCCTACCACGCCCATGTACTACTGGGTCGTGGGTCTGCCCACCTGGCGGGTGTGGATGGCGGCTCCGCTCCGCCCCCTCTCCAATTGGGGTCACGCGGTCACCACGCTGGCGAGCCGCTGGGCCTGCTCCGGGGGCTGGCGGCGGCCCGGCTCCTTCCCTCTGGCTCGAGGACAAATTGAGGAGACTCGGGTGACTGAGCCTCACCCCCCTTACCAGGAGACCAACTGCTTATGTCACCGCTGGTATTGATGAAGATCTCTCCTCCACCGCTTTCTGCTGACATCAGATCTCTGCCATGTTGGTATCCTATGCGAATGGCAGCATTTCGTTCCCCTTGCCAGGCAACCCAAGCAATGGGTGAGTCCTGACCTGCCCTCAGCAGGACCCGGACCGAGACACAGTTTCCGCGGGCTCCTAGCCCCGGTCCAGGGAAGTTCCGGGAGCCGGAACTCGGCCGCTCCGTGCTCGGTGTAAGCTCCTATAAGTGTAGGCTCCAAGAAGCAGCCCCCGCGGGCTCAGTTCCGGGAGCCGGAATTCGGCCGCTTAGTGTTTGGTGTATGCTCTGATAGTAGCAGGGTCCAAGAAGCAGCCTCCGCGGGCTCCGCAGCCCTGAGCCAGGGCGGTTCCGGGACGGTTCCGGGAGCCGGAACTCGGCCGCTCTGTGCTCGGTGTAAGCTCCTATTCCAATCAGTCTTGCCTAACCAGAGTTTTATAAGTCCTCTTACTTTTTTCCTGCCATCTTTTATTCAAAGGCCAATTTTTCAAGGTTTATCTCTGAAATGCACTGGGAAAAAAAATCTCCTTTTACAGAATCCTAAGGAGGGAAGTGAACAGTGGTGATGATGAGTGTGAGTCTGAGCACTGTAAAGGACAAGTGACACCTAAAACTTTGATTTTAGTGTCTACCATGGCTGCCAGACTATTCCTAATATTTCCAATTATACAGGACTCCCCTATATTTGAGTCATAATGTAAAAATCTGTGAAAGGCTATTTTTAATTTCTAAATGGATAAATCTAATAGAGACTTTAATAAACATCTATAGCTATTGTCTCATACCTGTGGAGATCTAGTACCTGCTTAAATGCTACAAGATCTTTGCTTCTTGTTTTATGCGTATGTGTGTACACCTGTATATTATGTGTTGTTTCTACATATGTGCTTGGGTCCATATAACATGTACATGTATCAATTGCCATATAGATAAATAAGTACCCAGAATTTAATTATCAGATTTAAATGCCTTTTCCGTTCACATGACTTATAAAACTTTAACAAAAAAGGTCAATTTATACTGATAAGAGTAAGGTGTCTTTAAAATTACTAACCCACACATTTTTCTAGGTGTCCAGCCAATCAAAATGTTGGTTTTCATAAAATATTTAAAGTACAATGTCCATTGCTTTAAGTAACATTTCTTTGGCAGGAATAACTGACTTAAAGTGTTTACTAGACTTCTCTGATATCTTGGTTTTATGTGTAGCCTAAGATAGAAATGAGTAAAATAGATCTAACATAAATGGGATTAATCTTCATGCACGTTTGTTAAAAGACATCTGATTTATTTGCAATGTTAAATTCTAAAACAGCAACTGCTAAATACAAACTCAAGTGCTACTGACTTGGAGGTCTTGGATCATAAAAAAGAAGCGTTTCAGAGAAATCATCAATATTTTCATTGAATCAAGACTGGGTGTTCGATATTTGAGATTTTTCTAGTGAATGTGTATATGTACATGTCTTCTAGATTAGTGTCTGTTAAGATGATTCTTATTTTAATAGCAATGGGAATTATGATATATTACTCAATGTTGCATCGTGTGAACATAATACCTGACAAGAATAACTTAGAGGAGGGAAAGTTTATTTGAGTTCACAGTTTCAGAGATTTCATCTACAGTGGGTCACTCCATTGCTCTGAACTCAAGCTGAGGCAGCACATGATGGTGGAAGGGAGTGGCAAAGGGAAGCTGTTGAGAACATGATGGCTGGGAAGCCATGAGTGGGGGTTGGTGGTGGAAGGGCCTCAGGGAAGATGTGCCTTTCCAGAGCACAGCCCCATCTACCCACTTCCTGCAGCCAGGCCCCCCATTTCTACCTTTACCACCCAGGTGGTCCATTCAAACTTGGATGGATGGATTAGGTTACAGTTCTCACAATCTAATCATTTTACCTCCAAACATTCCTGCATTCACACAGGAGTGTTTGGAGGGATACCCCATATTCACAACATAATGTAAGGAGAACCTGTCTTTATGATTTTTTTTTATTTATACTAATTTTGGAGAGTAACAGAAAAGCAACCAAAAATGTTTCAATTTATTGCAAGTACTATTTGAATATTGTTCTGACAATACAGATTACAGGGTAAGACAAGCTGTGTTTTTCATTTTTACACTTTTCTTTCTGCATATTCAGAAAACTCATAGAATGTATTCAACAAATCAGGCTACCAGGACATATGGAGACATAAAAACACTCAGCATATGGGTATAAAAAAAGTTATTTTAAACATAGACTGATTAGAACTAAGTGGGTGAATTAGTATACCCATGAGGAAAAATTGGGGTTATAGATGACATAGAAGCAAGTCAAATATGTTGCCAGCTTGTTCTTTAATGCTACACATAGGCTGCCATGTGCTCAGGTTTACAATTCACACTGCATGATCTGAATTTTCCACAACTAGTAATGCATGATCAAACAAGATTGTAAATTATGTCATTTCTGACCATTTTTTTTTTATTTTGTGAGATTAGTAGAGATGTTCTGATATTTTATTCTTGGTGTGTTACTCTTTAAAATTCAGTATAAAAATAGTTATTTCTTTGTATTGTGAATTGTGGTTTCATAAATGAATAGTTTTTGAGTCAATTGCTTTACATAAACAAAATATAAATCTGTGTTCTCTTAAGGAAATGTAACGTATATCTGAATGTTCTCTAGTTATTCACAACTTGAAGATAATAATAAAGGATTAAAGGGAATAACTATTATATAACTTGATGACATGGAATAAGCAGTTAAGGATGATAAGTGAAAGGTATTTTTTCTACCATTTTGTTTTGTTCTTGTATTAAGAAAAAAAATTAGAACTGTATATATTCTATCTGTTGTTCAGAAATTTGCATTGGTCTTATAAAGAGTTTCAATTCATTTAATGTATAATTTAGAAAATTATAGAAAAATATTACATATTTGAGCTTTCGGAACTATTTTTTAAGTGCTAACAAGTACCTACACGTATCTTCATGAATAAGTGTTTAAAGTATTTTTAATTGAAAAATTGAAATGCATAGATGTTTTAAAATATGCTTACTATATATTAACTATGTACTGTCCCCTCTACTGTTACTGGAGTTTGCAAAATTAACCTGCTATGTCATACTTATTTCCCTCGGGGAGATTATATTTCAGGATTTTTACAAAAAAGGTAAATAATAATTTTAATAATACAAATTTTAATCTTTGAGATTGAGATAAACAACAGAAATAATATCAGACTTTATTAATTTATTATTTTATTTTGTAACTGTATTTTAATTGAGTTAATGAAACTCGACACAGAGTGAACTCCATTATTATGTCCTATAAACTTTGTTGTTTTTATGTTACTGTTACTGCAGATTTCTGTTTCATTTTTTCCCTATTAATATTTTAGTGGAAACGTAGGATAAGACAAAAATAATAACGATTGCCTTTTGAGAGGGTAAAGAAAAACTTAAAAGGAGTGTTAATTTACAAAGTAGATTTTTTAAAATGTGGTTAGGATAGTATTCAAGTCAAGTTCATTAAAATGTTATCCATCCATCAGGAAGGATATATTTGTTGAACAAATTTTAGGTTCTTCTTTTTATTTATAAAGACATAGCAAGAGTAATTGGATAATTTTCCCATAAAAAAATTATTTAAATTTGGAATTTGGGGAAGTAATTCAGTGTTCTGCTAGTTGATTATTAAATGTTAAATGCCCTGAGTTATAATAACCTACATACATAACTAGAGGCTGGAGCAATTTGTAGATATTCACTAATTCCCTGAATTTAAACCTATTTTACCTGACAATTGTGGCATCAATTTGAAGTACTTAGAGTGAGTATTTTGGGCAATTAATTATTTCCTTTGGAACTCATATAATAGCTCCTGAATCTTTTCAAAGCCTTTTTCATCTCTTTATTCCTCAGTGTATAAATGGCTGGATTTAGGAGAGGTGTAATAACAGAGTAAAACACAGCTAGAAATTTGTCCACCCAGGTGATGCTGATTGGCCATACATAGATGAAGATGCAGGGCCCAAAGAAGAGCACCACCACTGTGATGTGGGCAGTACATGTAGAAAGAGCTTTGGATGCACCAGTTTTAGAGCTTTGGAGGACAGTGAAAAGAATATATGTGTATGATATCAGCAACAGAATAAAGCAGGTTACAGCAACAACTCCTGTATCAATATTAATTAAAATGTTCAAATTATCAGATTCTACACAGGCTAGCTTGATCACCAGTGGTATGTCACAGAAAAAGCTGTCTATTTCCCTGGGACCACAGAAAGGCAGCTGTATAATCACAGCCATTTGACTCATGGCATGCACAAAGCCAACAGTCCAGGATGTCAACACCAACCCAATGCACCTTTGCAGACTCATAATGGTGGAGTAGTAGAGTGGTTTGCAGATGGCCACATAGCGGTCATAGGCCATGGCCACCAGAAGCACCATTTCACCCCCGCCAACAATATGCACAAAAAGAATCTGGCACATGCAACCTCCAAAAGAAATGGTCTTGTTCTCTCTCAAACAGTCTGTGATCATCTTAGGAGTGGTGATTGAGGAAAGCCACATATCAACAAAGGACAGATTAGCTAATAAGAAATACATAGGGGACTGGAGATGAGGGTCAGTGATTATTAATATCATAATGATGATATTCCCAGAGACGATGATCAGGTAAAGCATCAAAAATATTATGAAGAGTAAGACCTCCATATTCCATGAGTGGCCAAGTCCAAGAAGCAAAAATTCTGAAACTACAGACTGATTTCCTCCATCCATTTTATTTATCTCACCCTCTAAAATAACCTGGAGAGAACAAAAGATTTTTAATTAGTAAGATTGAGAAAGGGCACTTTGTATTTAGAATTTTACATTTACATTGAAATTTAACAACTAAATCTGAAATTGAAAAAAATAACCAGGAAGAGAAATCTTGGCCAAAATAGCATTATCCCCAAAAGCGAAGTTAGCTGCTAACATTCAAAGACACAGGACATGAGATGAGGTTTATATTGCAAATGGTCTACTGAGAGAGTTCTTTCACAAGAAAGTAATGAAGAAAGTAGACAGCAAGGTTGAAAGGTTAGATAGTGGTTATGACTTCACCTGAAAGTAGCTTCAGTCCATTAAAAAAAACAAAAACAAAGCTGAGCATGGAACTAACAATCATTACACTAAATAACAAAAATGAAGTCATTTATTTTGGAAGATGACAGTTAACTGGCATTGAATCCAGCATACTTAAAAATGATGCAAAATTACCATTTCTTCATATTGGGCATAATAATTACTTCAACCCACCATGAAACCTCTTCTATATGACATCATAAATTAAAATTTTAATATATACATTTAAAATAAGTTGTGACAACCTTTATAAGAAAAGATCTCATAATAAATACCTTGAAAGCCAAATAATGAACATGTTGGCATAATGATCTAGAGGCAAAAACAGGTGTACAATTTATCATAAATTAAAAGCTGCAACATAGTAGAATTTGTTTAGTGAACTGAATAGATTAGAAAATAATCAATGTAGATTCATGTAGAAATTTTTTAACCTAAGTGGAAGGCCACTCAAAATTAGGTTTAAACTAATTTAAACTATTTTGAACTCTGAATATTTCATAAAACTTTAGGTTGTCAAAATATTGGCCTTCGATTATATGGTGGACACAAGATACCTTGGCTTTGAAATTTTAGTCTCCTGATCATGAACATCACCCAAAGTCTTATCTATCTATCTATCCATCCATCCATCCATCCATCCATCCATCTAATGATATATTATTTGCAAAATGAGAATTGACTATGACTGAGTGAATATAAACTTTCAGTAAAAACTGATTATTCATCTTTAAATATAATGATGTTGCTTTTATTAATCTCTAAATAAATGGACAAGACTTCTTAAACTGAATGGTGGAAAATAATCATCCATTTTCCTTCCCTTTGGCATTGTTTAAGTGTGTGTATTAACTTATTTTTTTAATATTTATTTCAATGGACTTTTATTTTATTTATTTATATGTGGTGCTGAGAATTGAATCCAGTGCCTCACACATGCTAGGAAAGCACTCTCCACTGAGCCAAACCCCAGCCCATCTTAATTTCTTTTATACCTTCCAATCTCTATGGTGGGGCCAAGGAATGAATGAATAATAAAACCCATAACATATTTTGGCAATATTTTTTCTCTGTCATTTTATTGAAAACTCAGAGATAAAGATAAAAGACAAAGATAAATAGACAAAGATAAATAGACAAAAGATAAATAGATAAAGATAAAATAAAAACAAAATTCTCCTAAATAAATTAAAAAACATATACATTTTCTATGGAAAAAAGGACATATAATAATAGTATTTTTGCTTGAAAATAAAAATTTCTTCTTATTAAAATGTATTTAATTTCTAAGGACAATACATTGATATGGAATATAATAGGTTCATGTCCCCTGAAAATATGAACAATCTGATCTTCATAAGTTAATTTCCTGTAGACACAAAATTTTCCAGGATAAATTTTCAAAAACTACTCTGTACCTGATAAATAAGTTACATAGGTGATAGTTAATGGAGAAAGCGTGATTTTAAATATGTTTGAGATAAAAGATGACTATGTACCATTTTAAAGAAATTACACAGCATTTTTGTTAAAAAATCAAGTAATTGCTATTTTCTGTTAAAAATTTAAAATTGCTATTACTCAAAACACTAGTGGAATAGTTATATTACTATATTAATATTAACCAGTATTTAAGAGAATTAGAAAACTCATCAGTCTTAATTTAGACCTGATTAAAGAAAGTCCCACTTCAATACTTATTGACCTTATGACCTAGTATTAAATCTATTTTTGTTTCCATTTCCTTACCTCAGAAATTAGTAAAATTAATTAATAAAAATTTTGTAATTATGTAAAGAGAACCCTTAACCATACATAAAACCCTTAACCCTTTCAAGAACTCAGAATATGTTAATAAAGAATTACTTCCTTTCTCCATTCTTTGTGGTAAATTTTGACACAGTCCCAGTTTCAAAGCTATGAGCCACAGTTGTATTGGTGAGCTAAACACTTTCTGTAAATAAAATATATACAATTTCCTTTCTTTAAAGGCCTACTATTGACTTTTTGTCTAATCTGATACTCACCTACCTATTCAGTGACCACAGGAGATGCATATGCTACACCTCCTTGTTCTCTAGGAACATAGCAACTCATTCTGCCTTTACATTTCTTGCTCAGGAGCCATTATTCCCATCTTACAGGAACTAAGAGAATAGGATATTCTAATAAAGTATCTTTAGAATTCTCATTTTAAAATAATTGTCATAGAAGGCCTAATGTTAGGTCTGGAATTAATTAAATTGAAAATTTAGGCAAAGGAGAAAAACTGAATTACTCTTTTAGAGAGTATTAAAAGACACCAATAAAAGCATTAATTCCTTCTAATGTAATATCCTTCCATAGGGATTTTTTAACAGTAATAGTATTAAACTGTGTAATATTTTCAATATTTGTATTTTTGCAAGCATATAATAAGACTTAGACAACTTAATATGTTGTTGATGAGATACACAGGGATTTTCTAGTAGCTCTTAATGCCTTCCTTTGTTTTCCAGTCTGGAGTGACCAGATTTTATGTCACTTTTCTTCAGAATTGTGATCATTTTTACTTATATATCTATGATAAAAGTTATCTGACATACTATATACTTTCTGATTAAAAAAACATATATCCCCTTCAAACTCAGGGATCATTAAAACAAGGATAGCTAGAAGCTGCCCATATTGATTGGCAGGCAGACTTGAGAGCATCACTGAGGTAGAACATCTTAGTGTTGTGTATACTATTGTTAAAACCATAGAAATTCCATTAAGAGCAGAATAGAAGGGAAAGTCCATAAATTGACTTCTGGGAAGATCAGAGGCACAGTGGGCATCCTTAAAATAGATACACACAAATATTGTAAGAGTTATCTTAATGGAGAAAATCAGAGAGCTGAGATAACTTACTAAATACTAGGTTTTCTCTCTCCTTCTGAAATGTGCTTTGGATGACATCCATTGCTGGATGGAGACAGTGTCTGTGGAAGTGCTTTCCCTCAGCATGACCTATATTCACCACCTGAAGCCATCCCTTGGGTGAAATTTTCTATTCTTTGCTCTGAACAGAACATGAATCATGGAAATAATTACCTGGACATCTCTTGGGGTTTTCTTTCTAAGAGTGACACCAAGTATTGTGTACTCTTGATGTCAGAACAGAGACAAGATAAACCTCATGCAAATCAAACCAATATTAAAAATTAATAAAGTTATTCATTTGGCCAATAAATACTTGGGAGATGTCTTCTGCAATCTTGAACCATTATTCTGTCTACATAAGCACATTTAATGAAGATTTTATTTCCAATTTCCAGAGAGATCATACACTGAGCAGTGAGACGTATAACCACAAACCATGATATGACACAATGCCTGGACATAAGTCAAGGTAGTCTGAATAGGCAGGTAATCTTGGTCAAATGTCCTGATGTAATTCAGTTTATTCTATGATTACATGAGATACTGGCTTTTTTAAAATGGACATAAAATTATTAAAATATCTTTAAGTTTTAAAAAAGGTCATTGAAGTGAGTTAAAAATACCTCTATTTTAATTTCTTAGCTTTTAATGCAATTTTTGTAGAGCACTGACATATAATGAATTGTTAACATTGAAATGTACAATTTAATAAGCATGGACACATGCATACAGTCATAAAAAGACCATCACCATCTAGAGAGTGACATATGCCTCAGTCCCCAGAGTTCCCTTGTTCCTGGATAACCTCTTTCCAATCCTTCCACACATCCTCCCTCCACAGAAAACTACCAGTCTGTGAACTCAAGTAGTCTGAACTCTTATTAAATCTGACTTCTTTCTCTCTCATACTTATTTTGACATTCATCATGTCAGTGTTTGCATCAATAAAACATTTCTTTCTTTTGCTGAATGCTATTCAGCCATACATAAAGACCAGCATGTTGTCATCCATTCGTCTGCTGAAGGATATTTGTGTTCTTTTCACTTTGGAGATATTACAAATTGAGCTGTTTTATACATCTATGTACAAATCTGGGAAACTTTAAGACTTCTTAATTGAGGATGTTTCTATGGTACAGGATATTCTCTAACTTGGAAAACATCTATGCAACTGCAAATTGGTGCAACCAATATGGAAAGCAGTATGGAGATCTTTTAATCTCCTCCTTGATATCTTCTGTGACCAATTGTTCATTCAGTAGCATATTGTTTAGTCTCTAGGTGATGGAGAAATTTTTATTTTTTATTTTGTCATTGATTTCCAATGTCATTCCATTATGATCTGATAAAATACATGGTAGTATCTCTACATTTTTGTATTTGCTAAGAGTTGCTTTGTGGCATATTATATGCTCTATTATAGAGAAGGATCCCATGTGCTGCTGAGAAGAACATGTATTTGCTTGGTGCAGGATGAAATATTCTATATATGTCAGTTAAGTCTAAGTTATTGATTGTATTCTTGAGATCTATCGTTTCTATATTCAACTTTTGTTTGGAAGATCTAACCAGTGGTGAGAGAGGTGTATTAAAATCACCCAAGATTATCATGTTGTGGTCTATTTGATTCTTGAACTTGAGAAGAGTTTGTTTGATGAAATCACTGCTCCATTGTTTGGGGCATATTTATGATTGTTATGTCTTATTGGTGTACGGTTCCCTTGAGCAGTATGTAATGGCCTTCTTTTTCC